GGCCGCCTCTCTCTCTCTCTCTCTCTCTCTCTCTCTCTTTTACCTTTGCCGCGCTGATATCGGCAGGGATGGGGGACGATGGAAATATGCCAGCGGAAGTCGTCGAAACCGGTAGCCGCCGATGCTTGTTGATGGATTCGTGTAAACGCGCCGAAAGCCATCTCTCTTTCTGTGTTGTTCTCGTGATTCTGGACGAAAGGGAAGGGCGACAGGCGATGCGTTCTGTTTCGTGTGTAGGAAGCGGAAGAGGAGTCGCGGTTTGAAACGAAGATTCAACTGATTGCTTTTGTATGTGAGAAATTAGACTTGGAGGATTGAACCTCTCTTATGCGTCGTACGATTCAACAATTTTGTACACTGTTTCGCGAGGATAACGAGAATCCTTTATCTAATAATATATGTGATGGTAAGATTCGATTTTTAATACGGTAAATATCAATTTTATATTTTTCTTTACCTACACGAGCGAAGAATTGAATTGGATTTTCCACGATATCCCTGTTATATTTTTACAATTTTAACGAATCTTCGATTCTTCAAGAATCCCACGATTTAAGAATCGCTGTCCTTTTATCCTCTCCAACGTAACATTTGAAACGTGGAAACAAAATAGCACAAAAGTTCCTCCTCTTTAAATATCCGTTCAACAAATTCATTACGAGACATAAGATAAGAAAGGAATTTGATATTTTTTCGCTCGATCAAAAGAAGAAGAAAAGGAAAAAGACGCGAGGAAAATGTTTAGCAAGCAAACGTTGGACGAACACGACACACGATCCAAGAGGGAGCAGAACAATCGTCACGTTCAAGTACGTCGTAAATCCGCGCGTACCGGAAGCGGGCTAAGTGTCGCGGCCGGTTAAAAGGCATTATAATAAATTCACCAGGAATTTATCGCGCGAACTACCCTCGAAAACGAAAAGAGACGAGAGAGAGAGAGAGAGAGAGAGAGAGATGGTTCAACAACAAAGAAAAAAAATACCGGAAGAAAAATAGAAGAAGGAAGAAAGGAACGAGCGAACACGCGCATAAAGATTTCAACTCGCATCGCGTATCCGCGGCAAAGAGGAGCGGTAATGAGCTTCGAATTCGTTCCCCTTACCGTCTACTTTAACCGCGTCTCGCTGCGTTTTTCCGCGGCGAGATGGTCGCGAAACAGGGGAAAATCTCCCTGGAAGAAATCAAACGTGACAGGAAGAGAGAAAGAGAAAAAAAAAAGAAGGAAAGGAAAAGGAAAAGGAGGAGAGGAAAAAGGAACAAGACACGAGAGAGGAAAGAGAAGCAAGAAGAGCGGCAGAACGGCACAATGGCCGACTCGTTAATCGACGTCGGCCTGGGAAACGGGGGCGGCGAGGAAATCGCGTGTCTCAAAGTGGCGGAGAGAGCGTGGCAAGAAAATTTCCCCGATAAAGGGGAAGAAAAACGAGCGAGCGGGCGGCGAAATCTCGTGGAACGAAATCGCTGACTTTTTCACCTGCCGATCGTTCGCCAAGGTCCTCGAGAAGCTCGTTTCCACCACCCCTCCCCCCCCCCCCTCCTCCTTCCCCTCCCCGACTATTTTCGTCCACGCCGAATCTCCACCGAAATTCAACCCGGTAGAAGTGTTCGAAGGAAGGGAGAGAATGCACGAATATACGAGACGCGAAGAGGAAGAAGAAAGGAGGAGGAGGAGGAGGAGGAGGAGAATCGTGATCGTGGCGAGATCGTCGGAATCGTCATTTCATTCGATCGTCTTAGTCGAAAGAAACTTTTCGTTTTTTTTTTTTTTTTTTTATTATTATTTCTTCGTTCGTGGTGTATTTCAGGGGGGAGGGGATAGAGGTGTACACGAGTGATCGAGGAAGATGAAAGAGGGCCGTGTAGTCGGAGCGTGGTAAGAGGCGGAGGACGGAGGTTGTGAGAGGAGGACGGATGAAATGAAAAGCTTGGAGCTTGCGGTAAACATCGAGCGTGTAATTCGCTCTTTAGAGAACACTTGGACGATAATTAAGCTGGTGTGGAGGGGCAGGGTGCAG